AGCGCCTTCCAGATGGGTGGCACCGCCGTGGCGCCGGCGACGCTCTGCACGGCGCTGTTGTTCGGCATTCTCCTCCCCGCGCTGCTCGAGCGCGGCGTCGTCGATCGTGGCGCCCACGGCCACGGCGTCCTCTTCGCGCATGACGCCCGGCAGCGCCCGTCACTTGCGTCGTTTGTCGTGCTGCTCATGTGCTTCCACGCCGGGGTGGAGGGCGCACTGCTGGGGATCGAGGGCACCGCCGCCTCACTGGCGAAGGCCACGGTGACGCTCTTCATTCACCGCTTCTTTGACGGTGTCGTTGTGGGCGTGTCCCTCGCGAAGGAGCTCTGCGCCGGCGCAGAGGCGAGCGGGGAGGCCCTGCCGCTCACTGCAGTGGAAAGTAGCAGCAGCAGCGGCGGCGGCAGCAACAACATCAGTAGCTCCACAGGCGATCTGGGGCATGTGTTTGGGCGGCGGCGCTGGCGGTGGCCCGTGCTGCTGTGGCTTGCCGTCATGCCTGTTTTGACGCTGCTGGGCGGATTGCTCTCGCTCTTTCTGGACGCCACCGACGCGCATGGCGCAGGACCCACCCCGAAAGGTGACGACGGTGATGACACGGGCAGGAAGGTTCTGGCGGTGGGCCGTGCGGTGGGGAGCGGCTTCTTTCTTTTCGCGGGCCTCATGATGCTCTTGCATGAGGATCTGCGGGGGGTGAGGGGAAGTGCGTCCCTGCTGGCCGGCGTCATATTCACGTGGATCCTCAGTGCCAGCGACCATCACTGACAGCCGTTGTAGAATGCGGATGGGCAAGCCATACGAGAACAGAAGGGAGAGAGAGGAAGAGAGATGAAGGCCGGCTTTTCACGGGCGTGGAGGCACAGCGTGCCCCCGCAGTAACAAGAACAAAAAACGAGTAATCAGCTCAATGGGCGGATAAACGACACAAACAGAGACTATGGTGTCTGTGCGCGTGTGCGGCACAACACAAAAGACATGAAAAAGAGGGGGAAAATAAGGAGGGGGGGGGGCGGGTATAATGCGAATGAAGAGAAAAGGTATGATGATGGAATGACTCTTTCCAGCTGCGCACGCACCCATCATTCGTTCTTGTTGTGTTGTTGTTGTTGTTTTTGTCTGCACTTTTGCCGACGCAGGGTAGAAAGCGGGGGCGCGGGGGTTGGTACGATGGGGGCTCGCTCCGCGGGCCGCGTCGTTGTCGCCTTCCAGTCGCGCAGTGTGTTGCCGCGATCGCCTCGCCTCCTGCAGGTGGCCGCCACGAATGACTTCGGGTACATCGAGACAATCCAGCTGCCGGGGGCGGCCAGCTGCTGGGGCGCTCGGCGGCAGCGCTCACTCGACGCAGACGTCGCATCCTACGCGTGGGGGCAAAGGTTGAGGGGGGCACTGCTGCTGCTGCTGTGGGGATTCTCACAACACACAGCAACGACGCTCGCTGTTACGACATGGGCTGCTGCTGAGAAGCAAGGCAGGAATACGAGCTGCGGTGGTGCATTTGTGCGGAGCGCTCCTCTGCGGCGGGGCCCCGCCTACACCCACTGCCGGTGGCCTCTTATCGCAGCCGAGTCCGCTTCGTTTGCCATTTGTCTGGCGCAACGCCACCTTGCAGGGGTGGGGCTGGATCATCATCATCATCATCATCAGGAGCAGCAGAAGCAAAGTGGAAGAGGACTGAGCGCACTGCAGGCCCCACGTGCCCGCTGGTATGCGCGGCAAATTCAGCGCTTACTCGTGGATTTCGACAGTGTGCGGCGCCTCTGTCAAGATGCACAGATGCGGGAGCACCATCATCGTGTTGCGCTGGTGCTGGGCAGCATCACAGCAGCTACCCACAGGGACTGGTCTCCAGCGGATGCCCTGTCGCTTCTACCCATTGCCGAACGCGCTGCTGCTGTGGCTACTCTTATTTCGTCCCGCGCGCTGCCGCAGGAGTCCCTCGATGACGCATTAGCGGCCGTCTTCACTGACCCGCACATCACCCACGAGGAGGCGTGGACGCTGCTTCGGGCAATGATGGCAGTGCGTGCCGAGGATTATCCGATTCATGACAAGTGGATTGGCGATGCGGTGCGCCGCACCCTCGCCGGCCGTAGCGGCGCAGAAGACTTCGACAGGATCGTTGCGACACTGCGTTTGGGTGAAGGCGCGTTGGGTTTCGAGGCCTTGGCAACGCTCTGCAGCGAGGCGGGGTTGTGGTACGAGTCCTCCGCATACCGCTCAGCAGCTACTGGCGTGCTGCTGGAGGCGGGCCCGCCGCCCGTTTCGCTCGACAGGAGCGGCGACGGCCACACCGTGAACAGTGGTGAATTCGGTAGTCACATGGCAATGCTGCTCCAGGCCTTGCGGGAGAGCAGAGGAGCCGTCCGGCATATTGCCGCCACAGAGGCGCTGCGCAAACAGATGCCGCCTGTTCTCGCCATGTACACAATGAACCGCGTGGTGGCGGTACTCACACGAGTCGAGTGGGAGGGCGACGGCTCCAGTGCGCCTGGCAGCGGCATGACGGCCCTGCAGTATCTGCGAGTCGCCGCCCCACAACTGGGGGAGGACACTAAAACCGCAACGGCGCAGGCGTCGATGATTCACTTTGGCATGCGTCTTGGCGCCGCCTCGACGGCCCAGGCGCTCCTCCCGTCGTGCCGCCACAGCTGGAACGACACAGTGCGGCTCATGCAGCACACGCGCCGCGCCGGTGTGTCAACGGCGCTCGAGGTCCTCCGCGGTGCGATGGAGTTGGTGCCCTCCGGCCGCTACTACGTGCTGGCGCGCCTTCACGCCACGCGCGGCCGTGGCGGCTGCAGTCTTCTTCTTGAAGCCAAGGCGGAGGCGGAGGTGCTGAGCGTCCCTTTCGACGAGGCGGCGGGGCCGTGGCGCCGTCTCACAGACGCAGCCCTTCTCCATCATCACCACCATCATCAGCAGCAGCACCTTCATGGTGAGGGGGCGCTGTGGGCGTTGCCCGCGAGCTTTGTCCCGCGCGTGGCGGCTGCCATGCCGCAGCTTCCGTCTTCCCTTGTGTCGCGTTGGATACGTGCGCTGCTCCGCCACGGGCGCCTAGATTCCGTCGCCGCTGTGATGCAAGTCGCGGCGGAACGTGGCGTCGTGCCGGAGATGGCGGCGCTCGTGGAGGTGCTCGAAAGCGTCCCTGGCGACGACGCCGCACAACTGCTGCGGATGGTCCGCCAAGTGCGCTGCCTGTTTCCCGCGTGTTCGCCAGCTGTCTTCCGCGCCTTCGTTGAGCGTGCAGCGGGACGCGTGCGTGAGGGCCCAACGGAGAAGTGGGATGCCGCGCTGCACGTGCTATCCACCGTGAGCGTCCTCGGCCTCCTGCACTACCCGCGCAGCTGCATGGAGTCGATTGCCGCCTGCGCCCCCACGCCCGTTGTCGCCGCAATGCTGCAGTTGCTGAGCGAAAATAGTGTTGACAGTGAGGCTGGGATGGCGGCATGCCCCACACCCGCGCCGCTCGAGTTGTCGGCGCTGCGCCGTCTGCTTTGCTCCGCGCAGGTCGCCAGTCTCCACGCAAGCGTCGATGTGTTCGCGGTTTCGCCTGCACACAGAAAAACGGCGTGGTGGTCGTCGGACGCGGTGGCCGCCGGTGTGCCGCTCGCGACGGC